AACCTCAAATTGCACCAGAAACCTGTCAACAATCTACTCTCCTATTTTTCTTTTGAGATCTTGGCTTTTAGATGCCTATCTCATTCAGACTATTAATTAGTGGTGAACTCTTCAGCAGTTAAAATGGAAAGAAGTAACAGTCACCCTAGTTAACAGGAATGTTTTCTTAACTCAGTTAAAGACTACAAAGTGAGAAACAACTACCTTAAATCCTAGTTTAACTCGATAATTATTTTGCCTCTGAACATAGCTGTCGCATATTAAGTGTTAGGTTTTAATCCCTTTGTTATAACCGAAAATTTACTCACCAAATTACCATGTTCACATCAATATAAAAAATATTGTACGTGTATCACAGGAGAGCCTGTGAATTCAAATGGTAATGAGATCTTTTCTTTTCTGTTTCTGTGTTACTGGACTAGATTGCGCTGTACTGGGGCTTCTTAACAGTTTGATGTCTGTGGAACAGATGGCTGAACAGAATGAGTTACTAATGCAGATGCAAAGTTGACAGAGAACCATCTCCAGGCAGTGATAATAGAGATGGATGGCTTTGGGAGGGAAAGTTCACACATCGCCGTGTCTTATCAGCACACTGTAGACCATAAGCCCTTGACATTTCAGCTCATTCTCAAGAAAGACGATTTCTCTTTGCTATTATGCTCATTTTCTTTCTTTTGATGCTTGCCTTTTCATGACAACTGCAGGCTGAAGAAATTTAACCATAAAGATTAGTTGTGTTTTCTTGTTCTTCTGTAGAAACTGTACTTGCAAGACTGGTTACAAACAGCTCAACTAGGCAGGACTTTAAAATGCCATTTTGTTACTTCTTTTAACAAGACTCTCATTCCTGCTCGATCTTTGCCTTCTACTTTGCCTTTTGGGAGAGCACGTCCATTTGCCAACAGGTAATGATCCCTGTGGCCACACTGATCATCATTATCTTGAAATCTCCTACACACTGATTCCAACAGGAATTTTACCAGGGCTCTCAGACTTTGATTCTGATGTTCTGTGCGGTCCATCGGTTGGTCTATGAGGAGGCAGTAACCCACGCAACACAGCATGTTAATTATCATTAATTCATAACTGTGACTGTATTTTCGCTATTGCAACTTTCTCCTTCAGCCTCCCACCTGCTGTGAGCCCAGTCCTCTCCCAGCGCAGCCGCCGCTGCTCCGAAGCTGGTGCTACAGCCCGGCCCAGCAAGACGTGGTGGGGCCCCGAGCTCCTCTTGGGGGACACAGCTGCCCAGTGGGGACGCGCATGTTTTTCATCCCGAGCTTTTAAGCGACAGCCAGGAAGAAGCGAGTGCCTTCGGAGAGGAAGTCAGAAGCTGTCTTGTGACAGGTCACACAAACTGAAGGCCTGTGGTTCCAATAGGCAAAGGGAAACCAGAAAAAGCTTCCTGCAGCAGAGTCCTCAAACTAAAGCAATAGGGATTTGTCACAGCCAGTACTCCCCTCTGGAGGGTGGGCTGTATTTCCAGCTGGGATCGGCCCAAAGCCTGAGACTCCCTGTGGTGCTGGCTCTCCCCCGTCCCCTTGGACCAGGGTACGTCCCTCTAGCCCAGATCCCAGTCCCCCATCTTTTTCCCTCAAGATGCGTTAACTCTCTCCACACCACCGGTGTGAGGCGTCCCAGCTCGGGGGTGTCGCTGCCATTGCAGCCCCACCGGTCTCTGCTCCCGGGAGGGCCTGCCGCTGCCCGGGCGCGGGGACCCCCTCAGCCGGGTGCCGGGCACCGCTGGCGGCAGCCAGGCGGGGGAAGGGGCAGGCCCCGTCTCGCTCGGGATGGATTCTGCCGGCCGTTGCTGTCGTGCCGCTTCTGGAGCACCCTCCCCACAGCTGCGGGGTCTCCCCCGAGGTGGCCCCCGCCACAGGGGGACGGCCTTTCCCTTATCCCTCTCACGCAGGACGAGCGCTCTCTCGCTGCGGCCGCCGAACGGCCCCTCCTCGCCCGGGGAGGCCGGGGGCGGTGGGGCGGGACGCGCGCGGGGCAACAGCGCCCCCCGCCGGCCGCCTCCCGCGCCGCCGCCGGCCCGAGGCGCCGCCGGCCCGCCTCCTGCCATTTTGTGCGCGGGGTGTCCCGGGCCGGCGGCTCCCCTGCCTCCGCGCTTTTGTCTGGCGCGGAACAAAAGCCCCGGGTTCGTCTCTCGCCCAGCACCCGCACGGGGGAAGCGTGTGGCGGCTGCTGGCAGCGACGGGCTCTTCCTCGGGGCTTTCCTCCCGTCTTCCTGCCTGGGCCGGGTCCTGCCCAGCGCCGGGCTCCCCTCAGGGGTTCCCCTGTGGCTGCCTTTCACCTGACTCACCTGGTTGCTCCCACCACGAGACTGCACCCTCACCTGCCTCATCCCGGCTGGGGATAAGCCCAGAAGGTCCTTTGTGATAAAATTCCCCCGGCCTTAATTTCCCATTCTGCAGATACTCGAGTTTATTTCAGCCCTGAGTCTTTTAAGTCTTGTATGCGTTTGTGTGAGGAAAAGCCCCGGCAACGCAGAAATAAATGGAAGCATATTTTTGTGTAGAAAGCCTTGGGCCCCAGGGCGTGGGTTTGCAGGAGGAGTGTGAGGCCTGGGCAGTGGAGACAGGCCTGGCGGGAGGTGGCAGCAGGGGAGTGTTAAACTCTAACACACAAATATGGAGCTATTCTTACGTCCTTACTCTGAATACATATTAACACATTCAATTTTACAGATGGAAATATCGCCCTAAAATTGCTTACCTCATGTCACATGGAGAATAAATGACAGACTTGAGATGTCAGGCCGGGCATTACCAGGTAACAGGTGTGCTGCCTGTGGCTGCCCACTCAAATTTATTAAAAGAGGGGTTATTTTCCTAGTCACTATAAAGAAACAACAATAGAAAGAGTGCTGAATGGTATTTTTTATTAATCTCACATATTCTTACAGAGGTATGCCCAGATCTCAGAGTGGGTAGTTAAAGAGGTGCTGACAAAAAGAGAGGCACAGTCTGTCATCACAGCGGCCTCTGAAAAGCAAAGACGTGCTCTCGCCACATAGTCAGACACTGAATTCTGTATGGTGAGAAGAGGAAAATCTTTCATTTTGAGAGACACATTCTTTGCATAGGCAAAGGAGGGGAGTGTGGCAATAAAGCTGCCCAATCTTTGTCTTTGAACACGTAGGGATGGGACTATAGCAGCACCAGGAGTTGACAGAACTGCCGAGAAGACAGAACTGCCAAAATAATTTCTGTCTCCGCCTCTAAGAGGTGGCTGAAATTTCCTCCAATGTTGCGCCTCTAGGAGATGTTCTCTATGGATGCCTTCCCCAGGAATTCATTCAGGATGGCATGGTGCTACCGTTGTCTCTTTGCCCTGGGTGCAGGATCCAAGGATCTAGGAAGAGGTGTGATCATCTGAGCATGTTTTTTACTGTCGGGGACCTCCATGGCTGCAGCCTGGCACAAGCGATTGGACACACTGGGTTTGCCAGCACTCGTTCTCCTCTATACTGGGTCAGCTGCGAGTGGCATGCAGGCAGGAGGTTTGCACAGATCCGAGATTTTGGAGGAATAAGTGGGAAGAAAGCGTTTGGTCAGTACACAGTCAGAGACACCGCAGAAGAAAGGCCAAGAAGAGGAGAATAAGGGACAGGAGGTGAAGGTAGTCCTTGCTGAGCAGCCTTGCTATGGTTTGTGTGGCCCCCAGCCCAAGCTGCCTCTTCCAAGGCATAGTCCCTCAAATGGGCACAATTCTGCTGTACCTGCTGATAGTGCAAGAGTGATGTCACGTCTCATCTGGGGTATGATCACTCCATTTTGCTGCATCTCCAGTCATGGATACATTCATGCGGGGCTGGTAAGATTTATATAGATTATATATATATATCTATATATACAGCTAAACTACTCCCCACAGATCGGTAGTTTTTCGCCATGCTCCCCAACACTAACAGTTCTAGATTAAACAAGAGAAAAGCTAATTCAGAGCTGCCAGCATGGTGAGAGAAATTACAGAGATAATCTAGAACTCCAAATAAAATTCAAAGTAGGAAGAACAACTGTGGTATGTGTATCACAATATATCTACTATATATGCATATGATATACACACAAATATACACACTGCAAATGATATTGGATATCCTACAAAGGAAGTTCAGTGTAAACATTTCCGAAAAACTGTGCACTTTATACTCAATTGACTTGTTTGAGCAGTCTGACATTTGTTTCAGAGGAAAGGCTACGTGCTTCTAATATTTACAATACAGAGAAAGGATAGCTCAAACCGTTAGAAATGGACTGGTCATTTTCACTTGGCCATACAACAGGGAGGTGAGCAGTTATTTGAGCGCTGCAAAGCTCTTTGCTACATTTGCTGCCTGAGCCTTCTTCGTGGAAAGAGGCAGAAGAGGAGAGAACAGACCAAAAAAAAAGGTACAGTGACAAAACGAAGGAGAGAGGATATGGCTTGATTTCCAGAAAGAAAGTATATTCTGGAGCAACAGTTAAGGATGCTTAATATAGAAAACAATTATTTTTGGCTATCTGGATTAAATTTAGGACTTAGCTATTTAAATATTTGACATATCATGACTATTAAGCAATAATTTAAATAGTTCATGCAAATGAAATAAGACTGAGACATGCATGTAGAAATAAGTATTAAGTATTCTTTTTATAAGTAAAACAGTTAATTAAAGACTTGTGGGTTTATTAGGGTTTTCCTCAGCGCTTGGTTTACTCTCTGATGGTGTAAAGATTTTACATGTAAGGATCCCTAGAGTTCACTTGAATTTTTATTGAAAAATAACTTGGAAAATTTGATACAGAAAGAAGTTGCTTTGTGTTCTTGGATGCTCATTTCCCGCTTGTGTTCTGTAGCCCTGGCACAGCAGGTAAAGAAAGAAATTGGGTGGGACTGTACAAGGGGAAAGAGTACAGTAAGAGAAGATGTCCCTTCCCTTCCCTTCCCTTCCCTTCCCTTCCCTTCCCTTCCCAATTTTATATAAAGCAGAAGCAGACCCCACCACAAAAGAATAAAATCTATTTAATATGGACATCAAACACCAACTTTGTGCTTTTACAGTACAGCAGAAAGTAGGGATATTGTTAATAATCACATAACTCTTGCCCTGAGAAGGTGAAAGGCCAGCGCTGCTGTCCTCCCAGAAGACATACAGCTTGGCCATTAAGACAGGCGCATACACAAATGCATGACAGTATTCAAGCATGTGCAATAATAACTGAGAAAAAAAATACTGCTTTGCAACTGAATGGTCTTTTACATTACCCTTGTGCCAAGATGACACCAGGAATGATGGAGCATCAGGAAATGTTACATGCTTCATGTTTTCTAATGTACATTTCTTGTTCTTGCATTACTTATAAGTATGAAAATCATGGTGTGACATCATTACAAGCAATGGCAAAAAAGCTAGCAAGATAGTAGGGTTCTTATAAGTCATGACATTTAAAGATAACATTTTCAAAATACTCTTTTTTAGAATACAATTTTTTTTTTTAAATCACTTCTCATGTTGTTACCAAGCAGAGAACCTTGGGCAGATAGTGACCAGTCACAGGTCCCCTTCGGTTTGACTGACTGTCCAACCGGCAGTTGTGACAGTAGAGACAGCTCTGTATGGGACTGGAAGACTAACATGGTGAAGAAGGAAATACAGTGAACAGCCTGAGGCTGTCACTTGCAATTATTGACCAAAAAAAAACCCAAACCAAAACCCAGTTAAAGGATAATTTTGCCTGAAAAAGCCTTGTAGCTGAGAAATGGCAATATCTATTGTTTTGATGAAAGACTTTGTGTGTTGTATGCCAGGAGACCGGCAATGGAAAACCCAAGGTAAAAAGACACTCTTTCGATGTTTGGGCCATTTTTCAGTAGGCAGGAGGGCACAGGCTGCACTGGTATCCGGAAGGGTTCGTTGCTGCCATAGTCTATGTAGATAACATTGCCCTCAGCTCTTCCATCCAAAGGAAGCAAAAGATCTTGAACAGCCTGTTCCTTCCAGATATTTCCACTCTGCCAGAGGGAATTCAGTTCCTGTTGTGAAAGGGAACTAAAAAGCTGATCTATTTTTCCTCTGTGAACAAATCTGTCCAGGTCACTGCCTTTCGCCAGGTAGAAAAGAGCCAGAGGTTGCCTGGAAAGACGCAGGGTTCCATAGAGCCTGTTGAAAGACTCGCTTAAGCGTCTAATAAAGGTTTCCATTTTCCTGGAGTCTTCATCTAGTTGTTTTGTGTTTTGGGGCCAGAACAACAAGGAGGCTAGGAAGAAAGGCTCTACACACTGTGAAGTTGGTCCCACTACCTGTAGAATGCTTAGAAGCAGATTTCTCAGCACCTTGGGAGGATATAAATTAGCGGATTCAGGTTTAATGCAGTTCAGAACCACATTTGCCAAAATCAAATTCTGTTTGTCTTTCAGAGTTGCTGGTGCATTCTCCTGACACAAAAATGCATACGCTTCTACTATGTCCTCTATTTCTCTGTCAGCGTTTTGGTGATTCCTGTGGAGGTATTCCAAAATGCCAGAAAAGGAGCCTGCTTTGGAAGCCTCCACAGTGTCCCTGTATGCTTCTACATACTGGGGTGTGTTACACTTTGAGACCTGTTTACATTTCAGTTGGTCAAAACTGAAATCACAAAATATTTCTGTGTATTTGGTAAAATGTTCTTGAACCTTCTCATATAATTTTGCCTCTACAATTTCCTTTTCATTGCTGTGTGTTTTGAAAAACACAAAGTAGTCTTCAAAAAAGTCAAATGCCTTTTTCAACCGGGATTTCAAACTACATAAAAAGCTGGAGTGATGTTTAAGAACCTTGAACATTTCACTCTCTGTGCTGGGGTTACTGACATTCAAACTACCATTTCCTGATAGATACTTTTGCAATTTTTTTCTGCACTGTGAGTCTTTTTTGCTGAAAAAAGGAACATACCAAAGGACATCAATAACATAAAGACCAGTTTCTATCTCTCCCCAATAACCAGCAGTATTGTATGTCTGAAACTTCCTTTTAAGCTTTTTATGCTGCAAAGATTGTTCACTGTCTGCTTTTTCAGCTTGCTGCTGGCATTCTCTGAAAGCCTGTGAAGCATTCTCTGCAAGCTCAAGGAAGTATTTCAGCTCCTCAGCTGTCAGGACTGCTGTCTTGGCTTTGCAGTCTACAGAGTGTCTTAGCTTACTTTTGAAGACTTGACCCAATGTATTGGATATGTACGAATTGTGTGGTGCTCTCTGTTTGGCTACTTTGGCCCAGTATAACGCGGAGTCAAAATTCCTTTCTTTAATGTAAAAGTATCTTGCTAAGGCTTGGCAAATGTAACCGTTGTGCTCAAATCTAGTCGATGCTTGTTTTAACACAGATTCCACATTACCACCCTTCTCTTCCCTATGGATGGCTTCAATTAAGGGGGAAAACAAAGTGTCTGACTCATCGCCATGTTCCTTGCGCTGTCTAGTAATCAGCAGGGCTTGTATATCACAAAGCAGTTTGTCATACTTGAGCAAAGTCTTATAAAATAAATCTTCTTTCAATAAGCGCAATGTAATTTCACTTTGAGGCAAGTCATAGGTGAGTTTCAATTCTTTTAGGCACTGAGATGCTATCAGTGGGTGAATGATACGAAGACCTTTGTATCTCGTGTATTCATTCACCTGATCGTATATTAGAATATTGGAACAAATTCCCATCTTTTCTATCAATTTGTCTTTACTGCAGCCGATCTCTCGAGAATTAATTCCTAAGAATTCTTCACATAGTGATACTGAAACTGTAGATGTTTTTACATATGAGTTTAACAGCGTTAGATAGCAAACAAGTTGTGCTGGTTTAGAGACAGTATTCAATTTACACAAGGTGTTTTTTACCACGTTTTCTATGTACTGTGGATCAAAGTTTTCCTTCATAATCATAAATGAATAGAAATTGTCAGGATTTGGATGCTCCTTTTCAATGCATTTCAGTTTCCACTCAAAGGCCCTTTGCTCTTTTTGAGAAAGCTTATGTTTTAAAGAAGTACTGTTCAGTGAATTGATTGTTGAACTTTCATCAGGATTCTGAGATCTCATACAGTTTAGAATGATGACTAAAGGAGTTACATACCGAATACATTTTTCTGTTATAGCCGTCTGAATTTCTTTCTGCAGAACACTGACATTTTCTTGTTCTTCAAAATCATCCACAAGAAGTAACACTGGTAAATAGCCTGTGTCGTTGCTTGCTCCACAGGTGAGTAAAGTTGTCAGCTGTGTTCCAAAATCACTTGTTTTGTTTTTCAGAACAGCACATCTGAATCGTTTCCGGAGATCCCAAAGGATATGCATAGCTAATGTTGTCCCACCACAGCCTGGGTGGTGGTAAAGGTTGATAATTTTTACAGGTGATTGGTCAACACTGTCGGATGTAGACACAATTAGCTGTTCAAGCTTTTCATAACTGTCCCTTTTGATAAAATCTGAAGTATACTTTTCAGAAGAAAAATAGAAATTCCACCATGATACTTTACCACCTCGATAAAAAGCTTCTTCCCGCTCTTTAAGGAAATTTTTAAATTTATCTTCATCCTTCTCTATTCCGGTGTCTTTGCATTCATTTTCACAAAGTATTTCCAATGCTGCCATCGAGTCTTCTTCCTTCTTTAGAAGAATGGTAGAATGACCAACAGAAGGCAGAAGTCTTTTAGAAGACTGTGTCATTGATTTTAGTGTCATGATGGTACCATTTACCATTTGCAGGCTCAGGTTAGATACACATTTGTTTGAAAGTTCTTCCTCACTAATGCCTCTGAGATGCAGAAGATCTTTCCAACGCTGGTACGTACCTGCACCAACGCAAATGCAGACCATATATTCTAGTCCCTTTAATTCTTGGTAAAATGTCATAAAAGTGTCAGTAAGGGGATCCACTGAATCTTCCACTGTGGAAAGCAGAAGAAACACTATTAAAAACTTTCCACTCTGCCTTACATCTTTGTGTGAAAGAAATGAAATCATTTTTCTGACACTGGCAGCTCTGTCTCGTTGCCATGAAGTGGGATCAAGTGGTAGTTTTTTATTGCCTTTGAAGTCTGATCCACCGTTGCAGAAAATCCAGTTGGTCTCCTGATGCAGCTTCAGCTTCGCAGCTTGTTCAGAAACTGGACCCTCCATGTTTTCATAATAATCTGGGAAGTAGAGTTTGGCATTTTGACTTCTGCTGTAAGTCTCTAACACACCAGTCCTTTCTGATTCAAAATCGAAGTCAAGCACAGCAAACCATTTTATTTCCTGTAAAAAGTCTAGGTGCGAAGTTTGACTTGGGTGGCATTTGTTTGTCACCAAAATGTAATAGTCATAGTAGGAGCTATCCAGTGAGTCCCTGTTACCCGTGAGCAGACTAATTAGCTTTAGTCCTTCTTTCATTGACTTCTTTTGCTTTAAGTTATATTCTTCCTCTGCTCTTTTACGAGAATTTGCTAAGGATGTCAAGGTACCTTTAAAACTTTCAAATTCTTTGGAATTGCAAATATTTTTGGAACTAGCTCCATCCCTGATGAAGACAGCTTTTTCCCAACTCTTAGTCTTAAAGTCATATGTCTTGGTAGAGAAATAGTTTGTACCACAGATGTGGTGTTGGGGAATCACATCTATTTCAATGACAAACAAATGTGATGGAGCTCCGTTTCGTAATAGTACTTCTACAAATCTAGGTTCTCTAATGCAAGCTTTTGCAATTGTGATGTACTGCCCATGAAAGTACTTTCCAATCTGTGTATTGAAATGGTTAATGTATGCTTCTTTCTTGGTAACTTTTATTCCTTCAATTTGCCCATGTGGCGTGTCACGTACTCCAAAATGAATAGTGCCATTTGTGCGGGAGTTCATGCAGGCTGCAGCAAATTTAAAGACATCGTTGCTGAATTTCATCATGATATCCTCTTCTACTGCCTTATCTGTGTTGGTAAGTAATTTGAATTCATGTGCTGGATCAATGAAGTTGAGTGGCCCTGTTTCAGGGACATTAAGTATATTATACTGTATGTATCGAGTACTATCAGTGAAATTATCAAAAGGATATGGCATACACATATTTCCAGTTGGGTGCTGGCTGCTCGACAGCGGCTTCTCTGATATATTCTCTTTGTCAGCTGACTTCATTGCTTTTTCTTCTTCATTGGGCTCCGTCTTAAAATCCTGGGGTATACCGGAAGTAAAAGACCCAGATTTCTTCTTGCACAGTTTCTTTGCAATTTCTCCATCCTCCCCTTCTCCATCAAGACACTGTTCAGTGCCTTCTTGATCCACAGCCTGGTTTGAGCCTTTAGCTAGATTGTCATGCTCTTTCAGGAAATGCATTATTCGAATAGTGGGCCCAAAAGGTATGCCCATTTGCACAAAATCTGCTTTATTCATCAGTTTCAAAGTAGAACCAGTCACATCTTGGTTGAACAGGATTTCGGCATATTTCTGGTCAATCTTAACAACTTCAGTTGCCCATTGTTTGACTTCCTCTTTTGTCAACTGTTCCATATGTTGATATGAATGTGTTTTCTCATATTTTTCAGTGTTTGCATTGTCCATCCTCTAAGGAAAAAACCCACAAAATTACTAAACAAGTGATTTATAGTAGCCTGTTAACTGAATAACACTTGTTTCCTTGCTATTATCAACCATTAATGTTTTCATTAGTGTAATCTGCCACATGAAATACAACAGTTCAATTAGGGGACATCGTGGGAATGTGATGTAAGATCATATATAAAACATTAGCTACTTAGATTCATTACAGAATGATTTTATTTGAACACTGTTTTTAAACCACTTCTGTGGCTGACATCACACAAAAATTGTGGCTGATATCTATTTGTGGTCATTTGGACACTCATTTGGGCACCCATTTGTATGGGCCATCTAGTAATAAAAAAAATAAAATCATAAAAATCATAGAATCACAGAATATCCTGAGTTGGAGGGGACCCATGAGGATCACCAACTTCAACTCTTGACTCCACACAGGACAACCTAAAGATTAAACCACGTATCTAAGAGCATTGTCCAAACACCTCTTGAACACCAACAGGTTTGGGACCATATAGAGCTTGTTCCAGTGCTTGACCACCCTCTCAGTGAAGAACTTTTTCCTTATGCCCAATCTGAACTTCCCCTCTTGCAGCTCGTGTTCTATCACTGGACACCAGACAGAAGAGATCAGCACCTCCCTCTCTGCTCCCCCTCACGAGGAATTTGTAGACAGCAGAGAGGTCACCTCTCAGTCTCCTCTTTTCTAAAATGAACAAACCCAGTATCCTCTCCTCCTAAGTCATGCCCTCTAGCCCTTTCACCTTCTTTGTTTCCCTCCTTAGGACACATTCTAATATTTATATACATTTTATAAAAACATAGTTATGTTTTTATATATCTGTTTATATAATATATAGTGAAGTGTAGTGGGACAATCCCTTTTTTTGAGCAGTTCACTATACTGTGCCTAGTGCACCCCAGGCTACGGTTGGCCCTTTTGGCCACCAGGGTATATTGTTGACTCTTAATGTGCTGACCATCAGCCAAACCCCCCAGAGCCCCTTCTGCAGGGCTGTGCTCTAGCCTCTTGTCCTCCAATCGACACGTACATCCAGGATTTCACTGTCCCAGGTGCAGGATCTGGCATTTGTCCTCAACAAATTTCATATGGTTGGTGACTGTCCAGCACTGTAATCTATCAAGATCTCTCTGTAAGGCCTCTCAGTCCTCTTAATTTAGTATCACTGGCAGACTTGCTTAGTGTGCACTCAGCTCCTGTGTGCAGGTCATTGATAAAAGCATCGAAGAGAACCAGCCCTAAAATTGAGCCCTGGCGACCACCACGAGTGACTGGCCACCAGCCAGGCGTTACTCCATTCACTGCCATGCTTTGAGACCAACCCTCCAGCCAATTGTCACCCGTCATGTTGTCTGTATGTCACCAATGGCTCTCACTAAGTTCCCAGTTTGGTGAAGAAGAAAAATGAACTGCACACAGAAATCCAACCTTTTTTTTACCCTTAGGTGGGGTTTGGTACAGAATTTACATGAGTAACACTGCAAAGAGACATTGGGGTGGAAAGGTACTGCTGTGATGACTTAGCTCTTGCTATTGCAATCTTTGACAAATTACCTTTCCAGTACCTTTTGCATTCACTAAGGTTTCTCAAATGAAACCAAAGCCAGTAGTTCAGCAGCGTTTGTGGAGATGAGTGACAGGAAGTAGAACATCTTACAATCCCCTTGGTCTCAGTTAATGTGGACTTTCTTGCAAAAACTTTAAAGAAATAAAATAATTTCCCTTAATAGTATCTAATTTCTCTTTATCCTCTTACTTCCTTTGGGAGAATTACATTCACCCACCTGAAATGCTTACTCTATGAAGTTGCACCCAGCTACAGTTGTTGCAGGAGCGGTAATGTCTCCTCCAAGCACCTTGTCTCGTTTGTACCTGAGTGTGCCTGGGACAAAACGACTTCTTAGATTTTTTCGGGGAAATTTTGCTTTCTGAGAGAACACTCGGTTACCTAAGCCACCCTAGCAACGTGCTTTGCTCAATCTATTATTTGATTTCCTAAACTAAACTTTACTAATGCGAAGCAATACCAAAGATTTCTCATGGCTGGTGCGGGCACACAGCTGAGGACCTTGGGCCAAGCTGCCTCCTGCTGCACCCAACCAAGGCCAGAGCCAAGCCGCGGGGCTGCGCCTGACGGCAGCCTGCAGTTGTGTTTCCTGTTAACAGACCCTCCCTTTTGCTCACAGAAAAACTAGCTTCTAGTTCTTTAAAATGCCACTACGGTAAACGCGTATCGTCAAAACTTGAGAGCGCAGGGGGAAAGAATCCCCATGTTTCCTCGGTGAGAGCAGCAGTTCCCCATTCCCCAGCAGCTCCGCCCAGGGAATCGAAAAGCTGAGAAAAGAAACTGAAACTAAAGCACTTCTGCTCAGAGACAGCGCTCAACACAGCAGCCTAAAAGTATGGGTTTAATTCCCACCAAACATACTTTCTAATAGAGCTACAATTTACTGCTAACATAAAACCAAACATTTTTATGTGCTTGAAACAGTTACGCCACGTTTCAGTGTCTGGAGCTCCCCTATGAGCTGCCGCTCCAGAAGGGGATACTTTCGTTTCCCAGACCTCTTGGCACCATTTCGATGTTTCGTGTTCCCGGCTAGGTAATGATTCTGGCCAAATGAAATCCTCTAAACATGTCCTTTTCCAACATGGAACAACTCTATCATATTCTTTCTGCAGAGTAATTTCCTTGAGGACATATTCCTTAGGATTATTTCACTGTAATCTCGTAACAACCACTTTTCACATGCAGACATTTGGAAGAGTTTATTTTAGTAGATTGTAGATCATTTTCTATAGAAAATTAATATCTCAAAAAAACCCCCAAGAATAAGAAAAGGTATCAGACTAAGACATCAGATCTCTAGAAAATATTCCAGCCTAGAAGTAAATATGCATGTACTTACTGTAACTGCTCTGTTCTGCAGGTTTTTTTCCTATAGTTGTTTTCAGTACATATATTTTGTTCAAGCAGGAATCCCAACAGCTAAAATTCAGCTGAGCTGCTCTTCTAAAATATGAGAAAAAAAAAACCCAAATTAGTTTCTAACAGAAGACTTGGGTCTGGGGTCAGAAAGAGTAGTAAGGAAAGAGTATTGACAGAGGCAAACACCCATCTCCAGAGGACAGGAATGGCAGTGCCTGCTGGAGAATATTTATTATTCCTTACCTTCTCCTTGCATGCTTCTGCTGTGCCCTTCCAACAGGGTGTCCGTGCTATGGAGTGGGCAAGTCAGAGCTGGCTGTTGTGGAGACACAGGAGGAAGTTCATGGAGGGCGTTCGGGAGGTTCTAGTGCTCCCCTCCCCTTTTGCTTTCTCTTTTACCAACAAAGGTTGCTTCTGCTCTGCCTCTTCCTGACTTTCTGCTTGGAAAATCCTTCTTCTCTTAGGAAATGAATGCAAGAATTCTGTTCTGGAATGTCACCATCCAACAATTAATTGGCAATGAATTAAATTATTTTTTCCCAAATCGGGTCTGTTTTGCCCCTAATGGTAGCTGGTAGGTCATCTCCCTGCCTTTTCTTGACACAGGAGCTTCAGCACCTTACTTTGCTGTTCTGCTAAGGAGGGGGAGTGAGAGGGTGGCTGGGTGGGCATCTGGCAGCCACACAAGGTCAGCTCACCACAGTCCTTCTGGATGGTATCTGTTCTGAGAGAGCTGGGTGAGGTCACCAGGGCACTGCAAGTTTTAGAAAGCAAAAAGGGTCTCCAGCCAGCGCAAAGCTTTCCCGTGCTGGCAGGGAGGTGAGGGTGGGTGCTGAGCTCAGCGGTGCTTCTCTGACGATGGGTGCTGCTGTGGCTGCAGGTTGTGCAGACCTGAAGGAGCCAGCTGGAGGGCAGGCAGCACCGAGCCCAGAGTGTGTCACTGGGGCTCCCCCGGTGCTGGTGGTCAGCGCGGGACCCCTCTGTCTGAGGGACCTGGGGACTCACAGAACTGGAGGAAGCTGGGCTGCCGGGTGTCTCCAGGGAAGGAACCTGCAGACCTCTCAGAGGAGCCGAGCTATTTGATCTGGAATAGACTAGAATAGACTATTTCAGTTGGAAGGGACCTAAAATGATTATCTAGTCCAACTGCCTGAGCAATTCGGAGCTGACCAAATTAAAGTGTGAGGGCATTCTCCAGATGCCTCCTAAACACTGACAGGCTCAGGGCATCCACTACCTCCCCAGGAAACCTGTTGCAGAGTTTGCCCATGTCTCTGTACAGACATGCTTCCTCATGTCCAATCTGAACCTCCGCTGGCGCAGCTCTGAACCGCTGGTGCCCGTCCTGTGCCTGGAGCCCTGGGAGAAGGGCTCGGCACCTCCCTCTCCTCGGGGAGCTGCAGAGAGCCAGGAGGAGCCTCAGCCTCCTGCTCTCCAGATGGGACAAGCCCGGAGTCCGCAGCCTCTCTTATAGGACATTCCTTCCAGCACTTCCACCACCTTTCTTGGCCTCCTAGATATATAGTATGTAGGTCTTTCCTTTTCCTTGGTTTATTAGAGATGGAGAAAAACCGATCACAGCCCCTTTTATTAGAAGCTTTTCTACATACTAAGGACTTACTTCATTTTCTTGGTATATTTTCCAACCAAGATAAAACAATCTTTTAGGCCTTTTCTAAACCCTTTTTTTCCCACTGAAGTTGCTTCTCAAAGCCTTTTCTCATTTGGCTGTATCTTTCAGACACACTTGAAAGGAATTTCAAATGGAATCCAGTTTTCTGACTGTGCCAGCCTGCTGCTTACAGGAGTGGTCTGGAATATTTGAGTGTAATTGGAATGTTTTGTGCTTTTAGATACGATTTGTGGCTGGGACAAAGCATGACAGGCTTAGAGGAGTTGGAAAGGTCTAGAAAGCCAAGTTTTGAATTTAATATGATTTCATAAAAAATCAGCAAGGTGAAGTTAAAGTGGAAAGTGTAACTCTAAGGAAAACACATTAATGATGTCCAACACAATTTTGGGTTTCTCCCAGGTAAACTTTTGTTTTCATTTAGCAAAACAACCTTATCCATTTACTATTAAGATGGAAAAAATGTATATAGATGCCACTTTGTAGAGCTACAGAAAATATAGAGGATGCACATTGCTGAAAATCTCAGTGTTGACATTAGGCAGTACTTTTTAAATGAAGAACGTGTTGGTGTTTGGTGGGGTATGCTGTTGTACAGAGGTGCCCTGCCCTCGTGCTCTGCATGAGAAGGTGTCTGAGGTACCAGAGCCAGTGACCAGCAGCTCCGCACTTTGCCCTGGGCCGTTGCGCGGAGCCGGTGCAGATACAGGCTGGTGTCTTTGTAGGTGGAGCGGGATTTCCAACACAGTGGTATTTGCATTGCGTGTTTAACCCAACTGTGGTGCAAATTTGTACTTGAACGGGCTCCTTAGATGTCTAATCTTTTGTTTGTCTTCTATGCTCTTTGTCTATTGTTTATTTACCACAGATTCTAATCAAGAAATGATCCTTTGCTTTTTTCCCCTCGTTATTTTAACAACAGAGCACAAATGTCACTTTCCATCCCAAGGCTGCATCAGTTTCCTTGTTTACGATGTGATCCTTTTATATTTGTCTGGGAAGTGTTTGGAAACTTTTGCTGGAGTTCTGCTGCGCTCTAGGAAAGCATCCAGGCTCCACAGAAAGGCACTGAGAGAGCGGGGCTTCTCCTCTGTCGGAGCTGGGCTCGTCTCCTGCACTCAGGAGTCTCTAGGAAGAACTACTCGTGGAGCAAACACGTCTGTACAGACTGACACGGACTGTTAGATCTTCAGCCAGGGATAAAGGTTGGATCCTGTGCTTCCATGCTGTTCAGAGATGCTTATGAACAACATTCTGCAGTTTTTCCTGTGTGAGTAGAGAATATGCTCAAACGCACAGCATGACTCAAGGGCATTCTAATACAATGGCGTTAAAAAACATTGTCTTTGCTTGACTGCAGAAATATTCTCAACACAGGCTCTTGGGCAGCACATAGAAAACCAGTTCAAATGCAAAGGAAAGAGAATTTAATGAAAACACATTATTTTGAATAATATACATATGTACATTTTTAAACTGTAACTGCCTGACAGAGCCGTTTCTATGCTTGTAAATTAAAAGATACCGTTACATTAAAAGAGTTAAAATAATAACTTTATTTTAAACCCCAAAGATATTCTGCAATCTGACATACTGCAGTTATTACTTTCCATGCCAATATGGAGACCTTCTCTTGTAAAAGTCAACCCCAATGAAAAACTCCCCCACACATTATTTTTTTTCCATTTTTTTAATAAAACAAGTGTGGGAGGCCTGATTCCTCCCTGTGCCTCCCCCTCATTATTGTCATAAAATATATAGGGTTTATATTGCAATTTTTAAGCTGTCCCTTTGTGTTTTGTATTCACAAATAAGGAAAAGTAAGGAATGAAAAAACCCCATATTTTTCAATAAAAAGAAGCAAAACCCCCTATTAATCAAAAGCAAAAAAGAAATTAAAAACGGGCAATTTGGAGCATCTGAAGGAAAGGGATTGTCAGTCTGAAGAGAAATTGTTTCAAGAAAACCTGGCGTAAGCCCTTGCCATTCTTGGAGTTGTGGGCATTTCCTTTCAATATACGATAAAGAAAAAGAAGTCACTTCTGCCTTTTCAGATGCTTTGGTTTCCTGTTCCCGTGCCGTCATGTACATCTAGGAGAAAACAGATACGGTATCCGTTGTCTATGATCCTGCTTTTCAAATGCCTTTAAAATGCACTGTTGCAACCACAGCAACAACCCAGGCTCTAAACACAACAGTAAAAGGGTTCTGCAGCACGAACAACACCTCTGGGACCTCTCTGTCACACACCCAGGTTTGAGGGAATTTTTCATACACATAAGATCAGGAGTTTTGAAAAGAGTTTCAGAGTGTAGTCAGTCTCCAGCAGTATTCCCACTTTTGAAGAGCTGAAGCACATCTAGAACTTTGGGATCAGTTAAGAGTGAGTTAAGTCTGAGGCACGTGTGTGTGTGGGGGGGGTGAGAGGATGCAAAGGTTGATAAAAGCATCAGGAAAAGTGGAATGAAAAAGCTGTTCCCTGGTGTTAGGGGTGGGCTGGTGTGCAGGTCTGCTGGTGCTGCCCCAGGGGGTCCCAAGGGCACGAGAGAGACTGTTTGAAAAATCATCTTCAGGTTCAAAGTGAGTAACTCCAAGCAGAAGAGGAATGCTGTTAGTAATTCATTATCACCTTCTCACCGACCAGCCTGCGTTTCCAAGCACGGCTGCGTGTTGGCAGACATAATTTGGACACCCAGGTGAAGATGTAACCCACACAGGATTTTTAGTAGTGTGAGTACTGAGTGCTAGTGCAGTCACACAAACACTGTGATTACTCAGCCAGCTGATTAGGGTGTTGTTAAGAGTGAGTATTTTCTTTTTCACCCGTAAGAGAGACAGGACACATCATAAAACCACGGGAAATGGGACACCATAGGCTTGGTAGCAAATAAAGTCTTGTGAGCTGTCCTTAATCTGTAAGAAAGACTGCTGCTGTTCACGGCAGCCGTACCGCCATGGCAGGAGCCTTGCAGTGAATTCACTCTCACGCCAAGACGTGCTGCAAAGCAGGTGATGGGAACAAAAGCGGGACTTCCAGCCGCTGACGAGCAGCACAAGCCCAACGTGCTGGGGTCTTTCTGGTCCCTACTCGACAAAAGCCTTCCGTGGTGTTCCCAGCCAGGCTGCTGCAGAACGAGAGCCTTCGCTCTAATCCGTTCGGTAAGACACAGATGAAGACATTGCTTACTCGGGTGACTAAGCCTTGTCCATCAATATTTCGGTGGCCATTTTAACAACCACTAATTGCTCAGCTCAGCAGTTTCAGCATTGCCACCCCCACACCCAGCTCTACTTGGCCCCTGCTGGAAGGTGTCGATTGAACTGCTCTGATTGAGGCTCTGAGGTGCTCAGTGGGAAGTGTTGGTGTCTCCGTGCCATGAAGCTACAGCCACCCTCTGACAACATCTGGGAATTCTCATTTGAAACTGTGCTTGAAGATCCTGGCTTCTGTTCTGCGCACTTGGACAAGGCTGGCACAAAGGACGGCCAGGCTGGAGTCCCCAGGGAAAGCCAGGGCTGGGCAGGAAACGGGGCAGGGAGGGATGCAGCTCAAACCTGTTCTCCTTCCTTACCCCTCTCGCTGGAACCAAGCACCAGCCACCAAAATGTAAATTGTTCTGGGTGCAACAGCGTTTGTGTTTGAGCTACCACGAGCGCACGTGGGCTTCAACTTACTGTTGATGGTCTTGCTGCGGTGGGTCAGGAATATGCTGAATGACTTCATAAACCGTGCTAAGCATATCCTGGCCTGGGGCAGAGTCAGAGCCAGGAGCAGACTGACCTGAAACCTAGGAGTAGCAGAGAGTATTCCTACTGTAAGTACAAACGGGAAAAGATTCAACAGAAATTAAGCTGATAATGTAACTTCTTGGTTTTTTAACTTTTCCCTATCAGTGGTTTGCGTGTGGATTTAACAGTTCATCTCTACCAGTTTACATTTCGAGTATGTTTTTATCACATTTATAGTAAAGCAAGCAGTTGTTTTAAATTCAATTAGGATCTCAGAAGATTTAGGATGCAGCTCTGGCATTTAATATAGCAAGTATTTTATATTAGAGTCCCACAAGTCAAGGAAGGAGCATTTAATAAAGAGAGAAGCAGGAGAATCAATAGTAAAAAAGGAGAAAATATTCAGGGAAAGGGTTCAGGATAAAACTCCAGCCATCATGTCACAGAGAGAGAACATCAAGGAATTTCCATAAGTGAAGTAATAGTGAAAATTTTCAATATATTAAGTATACAAATCTGCTCTTATGCCAACACAACACCTGGACTCCCCATCCACCAGGAATTCTGAGTCTTTCTGCCTATACCCAGCCTCCAGTTCTTCAATATCTTTACTTTCTTATTTTTCCACTAAATAGCTCAAATGAATCAGTGGATCAAATGCTGACTTTAGCTGCAATGCCATAAATCTGAGTAACTGAACATAAACCGGTGGAATTTCTCTTGTTTCTTGAACATTTACTGGAAATTGGAATAGATTTCATTGCTTGTACATCCATTCTGTTGTCCTTGTCACCTCTCACCCCCCTCCTGACCCACTAAGGCCCCAAGTCAACAAGAACCTGACTCTGAGACGTGATCAGCCTGAGGGGTCTCATCGCATGTGCAAGGCTGTGATGATGTAGGGCCCCATCTCTGTACTTAATGAGCTCCTACGGCTGTAATCTATCACTTTTTTTTTTTGCAAATATACCGTGTATTCTGAGTACTACTTGTAATAACGAATAGGTGTGGCTGTTGATGTGACCCTGGGTGATCACCTTTATGAGCTCTCCCTGACCTGACCATATTGATGCTCTCCACAAGGACAAGACTCTATTGCCAGAAATTTTCGCTAGCAAAGGGAAAGTGTTTCTCCTGCTTCCTTCCAGTTTGAGTCTGTTGACCCTAAATTTTGCGGCCCTGTATGACACGGTGTCATACAGACACTCATAAAAAGCAACGGAACAAAACTGACAGAAGGGCTCTAGTACAGGTATTTAGAACACCTTAGGAAACAGAAATTGACCACTAGTTTATGATGTAAAATCACGTACCCGAGAACCATTGGCAAGATCAGGAATAACGACAAATTCATATATCCCAAAATCATCCAAAGCACTTTCATGTCCTAAAGTCAGAACAAACAAACATGAAAGAAGGTATGAAGATGTATCATGAACCTGGGAAATAATGACTGGCAAAGTAATTTAGGCTAATTTTTAAAACATCTGAATATCGGTTGTTTGATCTGCTTTAGAATCATAGAATCATAGATTTAACCGCTTCCATCTTTGAGGTCCCTCCAACTCTAACCATTCTGATTCCATGACTCTATGTTCTATGATCATTGAACTGGTTGACAAATTGTATCTGGGACTTCAGACACAACTTGTAGTTAGGGTGGGAGTATCCTTCTCTACCCTCCCACTGTCCAGGAGATTTGAGACTCCTGGTGGCCCCTTGGGCCACCACCCAACAGCAAAGGCTGCAGCACTGAAGACATCTCTGACACCACTCCAGTATCTGGGGTGAAGGACCCTCTTTGCTCAAGGGACTTTTTCTTGCCTTCCTGAGCTTCCTCCACTGCCCTGTCCCCTCGCAGGGAGCCATTTATGGCCTGCTGTGGTGCTTTGGTAGAAAAGGATGGCATATCACCTCTCACTGCTATCCCATAATAACACCCACTTATTTCATACTGGTGAGAACAGCAGCATAGAGGTGATTCCAACGGGGATTGGCAGCTGGAGTTCAAGGGGAGAGGGTACATACTGCCGTGAACTCCAGGGGTGAGTTAACCCACACTGACCCGTGGTCATCCTGGTTTTACCTTAACTAAGCTGCCACAGAGGGGTGCAGCCCGAGCTAAAACACTTCCCTTCCTTTCCTCCTTTCTTTTGGTAAGTGGAGATGCTTTTTTTTTTTTCCAGGCAAAGATTTTGACCTTATGCTCCCATTTCTTTCATTAGCGTTACCTGAAAACGTCTGTGCCTTTCTGTAGTCAGTCTCTGGCCTAGAAAACACAAACATGCTTTTCAGGTTGATGTCACAAGCCAAGGAAAGAAAATTAGTACGATAAAATGCAATTCTTGTGATGAAAAGGACTTCAAGACCCAAGAATTATTTATTTCTGTACCTGCTCTGCAGCTTCTGTTGTATCACTGAAAAGAAGAGAAAAAGAAAAATCATTCTTTTTGCTCTGATGGTCCCAAAGAAGAGCTGGAGTGTGCTTAACCTTTACATACCTTTATGTGGCTGATATCTTTTCCATATGAATAAAAAGGCCATAGCTAGGATCAAAAATAATGAAATTCCTGTTATTACTGCAAGAGACGACAAAGATTTTCCTTTCTGGGCCAGTTTTTCCAGTCCTGTACCAAAGAAGAAGAGTACTGCATTTAGGCTCGTGTTCTGTGCCATGTGCTATTATCATACTGAAAAGGGCATCTTTTGAAGTTCCTCTGAGGGCAGTAAACCTGCACACAGACACAAGATAGACACAAAATTTGTGTTCCTGCAAATGGCTAATATTTTTCTTCCCCCCCAGTCTCCTGAACTGGGAAAGCAATGATGTGCACATCAGAAATGAGCCCAGAGCAGCCGGGGATCTAGCAGGCAGTGAAGGTCAGTGAATGTAACCCATGAATTGCAGCAGCACAAAAAGTAGGTGAATATTCTGATCGTGGGCACAGAGACACCAAAGCACCAACAGCGCAGGTGACAAAGGTGAACAGCTTTTGGTAGATGGGAGGGAAGCCCTTGCTGTAGGAGCTGGAGGGCAGGAGGGATAACTGAACTGTTGGGTTTTCTCTGAAGGTTCTCAGATCACTGACAGTTCTGGTGGTTTATCACATCCCTCAGGAGCCGATAAATTATCTCGGTTGTGTTCATGCCTAAATATATCCAAAGTATTTCCTTCCTGTGCTCAGACCTTTTGCTGGGATTCGCATTAGCAGCAGTTTTCCAGCAGGATTTACTGATACAGCACAAAGACAGTCTGTTTAGAATTACATACACAAAAGCCTGTTGGAAGCATTTGCATAGAATTTGCAAAGACAGGAATGTGAAAGTTAGGAACTGCCACTTAGAGTTCCTTGTGCGTCCTTCATTTCCTCCCTTTGCTGGGAATGGTGCAGAATTAATGTAATTAAAGGCCGCACCGCACTCAGTGAAGGTAAATGAACGCTGCACGTTTGTCAGTGCCAGCTTCACCCTCCCAACTGCGTGACCCCTGGGCTGGCAGCTGGCGTTGCTCGCGTCCCCTCACTCCTCCACCAACGCCGATGCTGTGCCGGCTCCGTGCGCAGCCGCCACCCCAAGGGTTAAATACCTGCTCTTCAAACCAGCTGCATCCAGAAGACATGGGGAAATAAATCACTGCAATTCCACCAAATTTGTTTCACGCTCTTTCAATGTACTGCTTTCCTCAGAAAAAATAACCCCAAACACTCAGCAGAAAAAGCCGAGACCTTAAAAATATTCTTTAAAAAGAATAAGTTCAATTTTAAACTCAACAAATCTAATTTAATTATTAAATTATTTAAACTCAGTAAATCAGGGAGAAGGGATGTGGGATAATATTCATAGTCTTTGTTTAGTGTGTTTAATGCTATAACATTTCTGTTCAGTTCCAAGGGGAATTGAGCCCGAGCAGGGGGTGAATTCACTCCTCAGTCAGTGCCGCCCCACACAGCGGGGGCTCACACCTGGGGTTGGTGCTATCGGAATAAATGTTCATCAGGAACAAAATGGCGGCAGAGGAAGGAAACTTTTTTTCCCAGCTGTTTTAAAAAGCTTTATTTAGGCAAAATATTTGTAATTAGGAAATGTATCCTTAAGTGCAACTAAACATAAAGCTGTGGAGTTTTTCCTTCATTTGGGGCTTTGAAAGGAAATCTCAGCTGAATTTTTAAATACTTATTGATGAAAATTCACATTTATATCGTATCTTGCATGAATTTTCTGGAGAAATGTAATTTTAATTTCCAGTCACACATAGCTCGGGTTGCATTTTTAGTTAGTTTTGAAGCGCAGTGTTCTCAGTGTAAAATCCCAACCCATCTTCCTCCCAGCGTAATTAACGCCATGGATTTGTGGGGAAGCTGAAAGTCAGCCTGAGCCACAGCCCCCTGCCCTCCTTCTTCATCTCCCTAACAAATGGCCCAGCTCTTTGTCCCGCACAGGTGAGGCTGCTTTGTTAAATCTTCTAAAAGGCAATCTATCCCCTCTTGTTGAACATTAATAGGATACAATCCTTATCTGAAAATACGTGTATCGATCTGCATTAATAAGAGATATCAGACTTCCTCATTGGCTTGTTCTTCGCCATCTGCTCCCGGAGCTTTCCTGAAGCCCTGCCTTGCTGCCGCGTAGCACAGCCTGGGACAGGAGCCGCGCTGAGAATGTCTGAGGAACAAAGGTGTGTGCTCAGCAGAGCTCGCAGTCCATCCACAGATCCATAAACGCCACAGTGAAATCATTTTTATGAACGGATTGTAATAAAACCTTTCATGGTCACAGCTTGCGTGATAATAAATCATGCACTAAAGGGAGGTTCTTACAAACCCAACCACGTACCCAACACACTGGAAAAACATTAAAGCCTCCATTGCTGCTAGTCCGAGCCTGGTTATTGCAGCCAGTGTTCTACACTCCAAACCACCCCATGTGCTGGTGACCTGGTGGCCCCAGGGCTGACAGCTCCTGGAGGCTGTGGGACAGGGAGCCTTGGATGAACTCTGCCCGTGGGAGGACAGGCCCACCTTGGCACTCTGCACATTTCTGTGTCATTCCCACCACTCATCTTTGTCATTTTTAAAGGCAAAATGTAAGGAATAGAGTAAGAGACATACAATTCTGCCACGTTACTGGTCATGATGAGGTTTGCCCACCAAGGAAGTTTTTCTATTAGAGCTCCAAATGGCCAAATATATTTCGGTGTCAAACTCCCACAGAACTTCAGCATCTGAGCAGGTCTTGTCCCAGGCTGTGTCCTGCTGCCACCATAACCTGGATGCAACTGGGCACCGGAATCCCCTTTGCCCCACTGTCAGCAAGACCTTACTTCTGAGATGATACATTCTGTCTCTAAGAATTATTCCTTTTTCTGGGGCTGGCGCTGCTCAGACATCACTGTCACAGCAATGAATTAATGTTCTTACCCACAGAGGTAACGACGACAGTGAAGTGAGTTTCATCTCGCTTTCCAGTGGCGTTGTTGAAAGCACGGCACACGTAATCGATTGTCTTCTGGGGCACTTGGTCAGACACAACCTCCAGGTGGGGTCCGTGCTGGATTACCTGTGTGGCGTTGTCAGCCTTCTGAACCCAGGAGTAGGTGTTTGGTGGGTTGGAGTCTGCCGAGCAGTCCAACAGGATCACTTCCCCCATGTCCACTGTGAACACCGCCCCTATATTCAGGCCTTTATCTGATTTAACTCTAACTCCATAAGGTCCATCTGCAGTGAAAAGAAAGAAAACACAGTAGAAAAATTAAAATCAAAGTATATAATTAAACTTTACATAGAAGCATATCTCTGAACTTAGAATTTTTAAGTCATCCTAGACTTTAGAACGGCTGCCGTTGGATTCAGTCATTTCAGTTAAAAGGCTTTCAGTTCCATGACGTGATCTGTGCTTGGTTCCTCTCAGACTCCACCCACTAATCCCCATCCCATCGCTGTTTAGGGAAAAGCACAGGTCTCTGCAGTGTTCAGAACCATCAAAAGAATGAAAACTGACAACAGTTGGAGAAGCTGTGAAGTACAGGAGCAGGTCTTCCTAGTGCTGGACTACTGTCCAACAGTCCTCATCACAATTCAGGAAATTAAGCAGCTAAGTACTTTTAGGGTACTTTTCATAGGAAAATGGGAAGGGTCAGACAAGAGCACGTAGACTGTCACACCGTGACCTCAGCGTAGTCCACTTTTAGCCAAACGTCCATCTTTCACAATGTAAATCTGTCAAACTTTTTATTTAGTCTCTTTTGCACAGTGGTAAGCTTTGTGCAGTCTCGTCCTGAGGAAGCCCTGACATCGTGCCTGCTGTTTCCCTGGGGAAGGCAGCACAGGTTCCCCTCAGCGTGACTCCGCGCTGCTCCCACCCGCACAGGGGGGGCCACTCAAGAACCACGGCATTGTTAAACTCTCAGGTGCTGGGCAGGCTCCCGCAGGCTCTGCCGTGTCCCGCTCCCTTGGATTACTCCATCCCAGAGCTTTGGGATCCGCAGAGCTGTCGCTGCTGCAGCGTCACCGACCTCCCTGGGCCGCATCCCAAACCCCACAGGGATCCCCTCCTCACAGGGGGTCCCCTTACAGGGAGTTACTGCCCTGTTCTCAGATGGGAGAGGGATGCACTGAACTTTGACCTCTTCATAAATGAAAGGAAAACCCCTCACGTACTATTTATAAGCAGGAACACACTTTTTTTTTTTTCCCCCACTTTTCAGAGCAATTCGGTGGTTCCTCCTCTCCAATTCTTCCTCAGAAGAATTAGCTTTTATTTTCACTGATAATATAACCTTTGATATATGTAAACAGAGATTAATGGTGAGAGCAGCTGGCTGTGCTCTGTGCCCCTCAGCCAGAGGGCAGGTTTGCCACAGTCTGTGTAAGAACCGAGTCCTGCTGTTGCCCCAGCACCAGGACCGAGCAGCCCCACACAGCCCCACACAGCACAACACAGCCCCGCCAGAACCACACAGCCCCACACAGCACAACACAGCACAACACAGCCCCGCCAGAACCACACAGCCCCACACAGCCCCACACAGCACAACACAGCCCCGCCAGCACAGCCACGCTGCTGTGGAAACCTGCAAGGTGACAGAAACCATTACAGACACACTGCTGCACGCTGCCCGGGGAACTGTGTTTGGAAAAAACGAAGGAAGGTTTTCCTAAGAAATAGTTAAATCTCGGCAAGGTCTGAAAAGTGGCAATTCCCTGACGAAGCCAACACAACATCGGGGAACCCCTGGGCGGCTGAGGGATTCACACAGCTTAAGGATTATTCTGAAGGTAATTAACCATTTCCTCTCTAGGACCAAATACATTCTAGCTTTGGCAAGTCCCAAGGAAGGAAACCCCACTCAATCTGTTCAATTCAGCACTCTCTGCTGCGGCCTCCATGGCAGCAGCTTCTCCCCATCTGGAACTCACATGTTTCTGGGTCAGGCCACTGCCATGGCCGAGTTCTGGGCTGGGCTATCGTCAGAGCTCGTGCAGAAGCAGAACAATATAAGTGGGAAATGAAGAGCAAACCACTTTTGATTCTCAGTAAAAGAACACAGCGACAGCCTTCCCGGATCCCTCAGCTCTACTTCTCCTTTCCAGTCCCGTTCTCACAGAGCCAGTTAACTAAATGACTTGTAAAACAATAAATCACCTGCTCTGAGCAACAGCCTACTGCTCTGCGGGAATACTTCCAATTGCTCCTATCCCCGTGAGGCTGTTGCAGTTTCCAAGCAGATGGCAGGTATTTGCTGTGAGCGACCTTTTCCTTCTGGCCGCCGGTGGCTCCCCGCAGCAGTGCCATATGGCAGGGAGGGACCCGCGCCTGCCCCGCATCCTTAGTGACAACCCGGAGCTGGGGACAAACCGCCTCCGCAGGCTGGACCCAGCTGTGGGCCTTGGCACGGCCTGGGACACGAGATCCAGCTCCCACCACAGGCTGGATGTGGACAGCAGCACAAGCCTGGTGCTTGTCCAGCATTGCTTGGTTTTCTCTCAACGATTTTATCAAATTTTAAATGGTGCAAACAGCAAACCCTCAGTTCTGACGAAATGAAAAGTAGATTATGAAAGTGCAAATACTTATAACAATATTTCTAAATATGGAGAAATATTGAGGAAAGAATATGATTTTTTTTTCTATTATGGTAATGATAAATTAAAAATCCATCGGAGCTGGTTATTTCCTTGTGGAGCATTTTATGGAGATCCCTCTGTCTAATGTGCACGGAAGTTCAGTTCACATCTGCCCTGAGTGGGCTCTTTATCTTTGTGTTTGCACTGCTGGCAGGTTCATAGGCTGCACCTGAGGGACCAGCTCTCCTCTAACAGTGTTCTTGTTGGTCTTCACTCATTTAGAGTCTTTTTCTCTTCCCCTGACAAAGGGTGGACCCTCCCCCCCAACTTCAGATGTAAGACACCCCCTCATCCAATTCTTCCCAGTTATAATTACAAATGAACAAGTAGCAGAATGGATAATCAGAGATGAAAGGAGGAGGATGAAGATACACCACAGTAAGAGGTGTGTGCTCTGACCATGCCGGGGGCACAATCACTCCAGGCCCAGGGCACGGGCTGGTTCCCAGCTGGGAGGACACAGAGCACGGCAAGAGTGAGCACCAGCCCCGTCCCAGTCCTTGCACTGTGCCATCCACACCGTGCCACTGGGTAAACTGGTTATATCTGAGCAGGGCTGGTGGCAGAGTAGATCCCGACCTGTGTGATTTCAGCTCTGGTCTGGAAAGGACACCCCACCCCCTGAGGACATGCGAATGGGAGCCTGGCAATGTCCCACGCTCCATGTGCCACCTGCAAGCCTTGGAGGCACTCGGAGCTGGCGTTACAGGAGGGACAAGGAACAGAGTAAGGGTGCCCTTTCTAAGATTTAAAGCACAATTGTTGAACATTGACTACACCAGTCTTTTTCTCCCTCCAGCTTACTCCATTCATGAACTCACTCCACGCTCACTGTTAAGTTTCCCTCTGCCATCGTTTCCAGTCAAAATACACGGCTCCCTCACGTCTGCTCTTCTGCACACGCTGGTCCTTACACAGCTCTTCTTGCTCCCTCACGTTCCCTATGATGAGGAAAGCAAACACTCCCTTCAGCTCTGATTTTGCTAGACCGGACTGGGGTCTCTTCTGCAGTCCTTTCTGTTCCCATTTTTAACAGGATTTTTGTGTATAACCAGCTGATGAGTCATTTCTTGATTTGAGTCACATCCCCCAGATCTGAAGATGTCTGTACGGTGAACTCCTGAAGTTCCTGTTTGAGTTCTGCAGTTTGGACCCATCCTCACAGCTACTGAACCCTGAGTACCGTTCTGTTACCCTGTTGTAAGTTACAGCTGTTACAAACAAGCTCATTTTGAATGCAACTCCCGTGTAACGTTGACTCAGCTGTTCTCTGCCCTCTCCCATAGTTAGAGGCACTCTTTCCAGCCAGATCATTTATACAAAGAGAATTATGAATATTTCATTTACTCACAATATATGGTGGGTGCAATTATCTCACTTTCCATTGCACTGACAGGGTTAGACACCAGACAGCTGTAGTTCCCAACGTCTTCTTTTACAACAGGGACAATCAGAAGCGTTGCGTTGTTTGTTGAGAAGGTGTAAGTAGGGCTGGCGTGGAGAGGCTTCCCGTTTTTCATCCACTGGTAAACTACCCTTGTACCTCTTTCCACAGTACATTTTAAGGTAATATTCCCCACATACTCCACTACCCCTGAAGCCGGTTCAGTATATACAACTGGCTTTGTGACAGGAACTGTAAATTAAAGAGATAGGAAGAGTTATAAAAGTGACAGCCCATGTATTACAGTCTGCAGTGCCAAGACGATACAAACAGCAGTCACCGTTCCCTCTGGAAAGTACTCGGATTTCAAATTTTATTCATTTAATGCGGCTAAAGGTTGAAAAAGGAAGGCCATATTCTCAGCTGGTGATTGTAAGAATTGTTCCAGTATGTAAATAAAACGTGGGTGTTTTTATTACTTGTAATACATGAAGGCTGCAGCCGGGTATAGCGTGGTCCCCAGCTCCTGCCCCGTAGGCAGAGCCCTTGGCCATGCCATGAAGAGTGCCCAGTGTGACACTGCCCACAGTGTGCCACCTCGCAGCCACCGGGCACTGCTGAGACGTGCTGTTGGTAACTGGGACACACAAGGGGGGTTAAACAACAGTTACAACTTTTTCACATCAATATGTCACTCATTTAATTATTTCAAGGCCAACAGTTAAGGGCTCCCTCCGTATAATCCACAAACTACAGTAGCCTCTTGGCATTCTTTTCTATTTCCCCCCCTTTTTAATATCCCCACTACAAGGAGCGCAGTACAAAGAGGGAACTTCAGTATTTTAGGAATTCAGGCCTGGGCTCCTTCTACAGACACAGGGTCACCAGCAGAAGTCAATGGCCCCTCTTCCGTAGTTTCAGGAGGCAAAGGTAAAGCTGCCCCGGGAGAAAGACTGTTTGAAAGTTAATGCATCTTCATGGCTGAGAGCACAGCAGAGCCCTAAGAAACATCGTTTCTTAGAAGTTTGTCTAATTTAATATTGATTATTGGTTCCTATACTCCTTTTTATTTTTACTTATGATCCAGAAACATTGGTCAATATAGTAATTTTGTTTCAAGATGACATATTGTAGGATTCCCTGCAACAGCAGTAGAAAACAAAGCAACTTAATTGTTAGTATTTATTCAGGTATGGTTGGATTAAATTATACACTATTGTAACTGGATACTAAGAACTAGTAAATAAAAACTACTGCGATTTTATTTTCAAAATGAAGATACTATATTTTATGAACTTACCATCAACAGCTACTCGAATCTTTTGGCTGGCAGCTACTGTCCCATTCCCACGGACATTGACTTTTACAATATAATTGCCCTCGTCGCTGATACGCAATGGATTGATCACCAGAGATGCATTCGGTGGTACGAGGGTAAACTTGTGCTGATATTCCAAGTCTGGAACTACTGTTTGATTTACAGAGCCAAGCAAGTATTTTGGATTACTTTGGGGCCTCTCAAAAAGCCAAATTATCTGGATTTCAGAAGCTGTAGTGTTGAAATTGTAGTCAACAGTCAGATGGAGTGGTTGCCCCTCAATGCCGTGGATGGTATGAGACGGTACTGTCAACTTTAAGGCAGAACAAATACCTGCATAAAAATGAAAGAACAAACAAATAAACAGACCCAAGACACAAATGGAAACATTGGAAAACTCAAATGAGAAATTCTCACAGAGAAAAAAAGACTCTTAGAGTTAATGCTTAGAGTTTTTTGTGTAAGATTTCAAGTAAGACAGGGGCAAACTCTCCTTGACCCCGGTGGCACTAGATCTAGCCAGAGAGCTCCAGCTTTAACAGATACAAAAAGCCAAAGGAAGGATATTTGTGATTTCTGGACAGAGAATCTTTTATTGCTGAAAATCTGACATAAAGTCAAAGATTTGCATTTACCTTAATATTTAAAGTATTTTCCCTTTAAAATAGTTCCAATTTCTAGAGCTCATACTGACAAACAGTCTTGGATTGCAAAACTTTTGCAGTCTGGAATATTAGCCTGACTTCATGAGGTTTGATTTTCAGGTGAAACTGAAGGCTGTTGTGACTAACCCGTGAAGTAAAGTAAACAGTGAAACCAAGCCCACCTGCCAAACTCTTACTGCGTTCTCATCGGGCACAAATTCCATAGAATCTAAGCCTATCTCTATAGCTTTCTAAATATAATACATGTTTTGTCGGGACGATGCAATTCTGAAAACTAGTTTTGGTGCAGTAACTGTGAGGCAATTGGGTTGTACCACAATGACCTCCGCGGGGGCTCGGTCATCTCTGCTGCTCTCCCACCTCACTCTGCTGTCACCGGTATTAGCAGCCACAACACAATCCCTGTTGACATAAAACATGGGCTGCAGCTTGAGTTTAAATAAAAAACTATGACAGAACTTTTGAGTTTACGGCACAAACTCAAACCTGCTTAGCGAGGTTTTATCCTTCGCTGAATTTAACATGCACATCTCCTTGTCAAAGGGAGTTTGCGTTCCCAGCTGCTTTTCACCAGTGTTCACTTAGCTCTTCTGCTCCCCAAAACCCCTGAACTTGGAGTAAAATTTCATTAGATCAGTGGTTAAATAAGTTCATTTATGAAAAAAGAGATACAAGGTACCAGGAAATCTGCAGTTCCCGAACCCTGCAGATACAGCACCAGGGACTCAGGTGTACTCTTCCCCATTTGGGGACTTTTTGCCCAAGAACAAGTCCCACTGAGCCTGGTTATTGGACCTAATTCTTGCCTCTGAGGGCAATGTCTTTGGTGGGCTTTGTGTCATGCCCGATTCTCGCCATGACATCGAGTACAGGCTCCCACACTGGTAACACGTTCCTCTGGGTGAGGGCATACCGTGAGACTGGTGGTGAGCAGCTGTGTGCAGTGAAGCACTCTGCTGGCACACCAGGAGCTCTTGTGGAATTTTAATAAAAAAGGGTAAATCTCTAATGGAGATAAAGTGAATATTCACTGTCCATTTTATCAAACAGTGTTTTCATTTTTAAAGAAGAAAAAAGTGATAAAGTGAATGTTCACTGTCCATTTTGTCAAACAGTGTTTTCATTTTTAAAGAAGAAATCTGATAAACTTCATATAAAACTGCAATTGTTACAAAGCCAAAAATCTTGGTGAAGTGTTCAGCTTGAACTCAAGTGAGCGAGGTGACAATACATGAAGTTAACAAAGAAGACAAAGGAAAAAGTGTCCTTACACCTGAATGCGTAGAGGACACACTCCGTTTGTTACAGTACATATTCCCTCTGTTGATATTTTCAAAAACAGTTACAGAATAAGTGAACTACAAGAGTTTATAGAAATATAAGTTTATCTAACATTTGATCACAGGATATTCCTCTCAAAGGCACAGAACATCTATTTTTTATCAACTGCAGGGATATCACAAGTATACTTAGGAAAATTGCACCCAGGTACCAAACAAATGTACTATTAACAGTAAGGCATAGCTCAGTTGATTGAAAGTTTAATTTAGTTTTAATACCAATTAAGTTTAAATATGGCATATAAATTTTCTCTATTAACTGTAAGACATCATCATGAACTGAAAACCAATGTATCAGCACTGTCTCAGCATAATGCATTTTTAAAGACGTGTAATAGCTTCGGGATAAACTTTGGTTGTGACTCTGCCCAGCCTTACTTCTTGGACAGAATGCACAGTGCATATAGCACTTAATGAAACGGGACAATGTACATGCAATCAGTGCCCACGTTTTACTTAGAGATTATGGATACTGCTAGTTTTTGCCAGTTGCTCAAAGCTCCTAGCTCCACTCATAAAGCAGGCTGAGGCTGACTGAAAGCTTTTAGGCTGCCTTAAAACAAAACAGCTGACAGCACAACAGAAACATCTTTAAATTTAGGAGTATAAAACCCATTCCCGTTTCCACAGTGACAACCAAATATAATTCATGCTGTCTCTTACCTACAAGCAGAAAGTATATTTTGCAGTGTAAATCCCAGAAGAAGTTGGCTAAAGGGCTCCAGGACAGCATCCTGTCCCACACCAGCACCACCACCTCGAGCTGAGCGGGGCTGGGACCCGCAGCTGCTGCCTTATTTGCCAGGGAAATGGGCAGTGCCGCCCGTCCTGCCCTGCCATTTGAATAGGTGTGCACAAGGAACAAAGGCAGCGGAGCACCTGGTAGATGAGCACCATCCCCACTGCCTCCCACCTACCCTCACCCTTCCCCGCACTCACAGCAAATATGACAATGCAATAAATGAGGCGAGAATACAAAGTACATTCAATTAATAAGCAGAAGTGAACGCAGGCAATGTACAGGCTATATGGGTATGAACATCCTTTACTCACAGATTCGTAAGAAATACCGTGCTGCTACATGTTCTGCTGAGTTCAAAGCAGTATTCATAATTTTTTTTCAGATCTTTTCCAGTGACAGTCTTTCCTTTTCTGTTATTAAAAATACTAAGAGTTTTGCTTAAATTTTTTTAATAGCATTTTCAAGCCCATGACTTTTCTGTATTTTTTTCCTTAACTTAAGCATAACTTGGTGATGATTTTGTTCCTTTTCTCTAAACAACACACAACGTGGAGGCACCTTCTAACAAGGAATCCTGTGGCCAGAGTGGACAGCTTACTGCAGCTGTCGAGTTAGCTGCCCATTGCTGCTTATTCTGCATTAACTTACATCGGTTTAATTAATATTAGTATTAATGTATGATTTGGATTTTGTCCAAGGCTGTCACTCACCGTACGCACCTTATCAGCCGCAAAGCAGGCAGCCTCCCGCAGCTGCACGCACAGCAACCCTTTACAACAGCAAATATTTGCATCCACAGGGATGGTTTATCCACAGTTTTCGCTACACAGCACTTACACCGATCATTATGGATTAACAAATATTAGGCTGGACTGTATCCTGCCTCGTGCAGGGGGACAGGCAGCAAGGAGCTGCCTCCCCCTCACTGCAAGGGTCCTGCCAGGTGCTAAGCCCCCCCCAGAAGGGCTGAGCCCTCAATTCTTACTTACGGGAGCTGAAAACACCCTGATCCTTCCAGAATTCTTAGGAGCTCTGTACAACAACTGTAACAAACACGAGGGTTATTTCAGGCTAAGAAAAATATAAGTACAGTGGTCCCACCAGAAATAATGTTGCCACCGACATGAGGCAGCAGATGAGGAGGGTACTTTGCCTATTCCCAAAGGCTCCCCTCTCCCACCCCTCCTGAAGCCTGCTCTTTATAACCTGCTTAATCCACTTAAGGGTTGGATACATACACCCAACTGCAATCTTTTAAAAAACTGAGGTAGAAATTGTTACCTACTTGGTTTCAGCATGTAATAAAATATTAGGTTCCAATTAATTTCTAACTGCAATGAATGGGAGCTTTCACACTGGGATAAGCTCTGTGTTGGTGTTTTAAATGCCCTACGCCTGCTAAGAAAGTTTTTAGAAAAAGAACAGATGAACAAAGTTATATTATTCAAGTGTATCCCCTAATTTCCAGCATTTAGATATGGTCTTGATGTGATTAATATACTGCAGTTTTTTACACTGAATAACTGACACAAAGTGGATACTATAAAAGCACACATTTTTTCTGTATAATTCTATCTCATGCTGGTTGTTGAATGGCATTTAGAGTTAATCAAACCTCACTCATTTCTTTTTAATAAAAGCAACTACATTACAGCAACTTTATTTGCAGCAGTAGCATTCTGAATACTTCTAATATTTCTGCAAATCTTAGTTATTTTATTACTAAAAAGTAACTTTGTTATGTGCTAAACTTTAGTTAGAGGTTTTCCATGGAAATAACTAGGGATTATATTCCCAAGGGTAGCCAGGAGTAATGAATTCTTGCTAAAAAAGGCAGGGTCCTGATGTCCCTCCGTCACCGTCTGCTCCGAGAGCCAGCAGCGCCGGCTTTTTCCTGTCACACCCTGCAGCGGGTGTCAGGGCTGGGGTGACACGGAACAAACAGCAGCTGGGGGCTCAAGAGCAATTACGGGATTAGGAGGCGTGCGCTGAGCTGCCCTGTGTGCAGGCTCCACTGCTTCCAGAGGGAAAGGCCACCTTTCCTGCAGGGATTGCTGGGCTGCAGGGATGTGCTGGTGGCTGTATTGAATGTCATCTCCAGTTAAGCAAAGATTGTAGGGTAACTTCTTCCTCTTTTTTAATTTTTTATTTGTTTTTTAATATTCATCTAAACCAGATTTTTAAAGTTACCAGCTTTTTATTTCGGTTGAGATCCATAAAACCCAAGTGCAGAGACACCCCAGCCTGAAAGGAGGTTGTAGAGAGATTCTTCTCCCTAGGGAATAACGACAGGAGCAGAGGAAATGGTCTGAAGTTGTGGCGGGGGAGGTTTAGATTAGGTATCAGGAAGAATTACTTTGCTGAGAGGGTGGTCAGGCACTGGAATGGCCTGCCCAGGGAGGTGGTGGAGTCACCATCCCTGGAGGTACTTAAGAAACGTGTAGACGTGGCTCTTCAGGGCATGCTCTAGTGCCCAAGACTGTTGGGTTGTGTCTGTTTGTGGGTTTTTGGTTGTTTTTTTTCCTGTGGTTGGACTTGATGATCTCAAAGGTCCCTTCCAACCATGAGGATTCTGTGAGATTAGCTGTGTTTTGGTGAGGCAAAGCAGCGCCCTGTGCGCAGCCCCGGCACCCCTGTGCCTACCCCCCAAGCACCCTCAGCCAAACAAGCAGCGGGATTGTCACAGCGCATTTCCCAGCCAGTCTGGCTCTTTCGGCAGTGCCCCATCTTCTCTTCTCAGATAATTGCCTCCAACGTCTCAGCAAGCAAAATCCCAATGTCCAGCGCTTTATATTCCCCCAAGAGCAGCGGCACCCTCGCCCCGCGGGGCCTGCGGTGCCAGCCCGGCCGCTCCCCGCCGGGAGCCCGCCGGCGGGGCCAAGGCAGGGCAGGGGCTCCGGCCCTCCGCCTTCGGCGGTGCCTTCCCACAGCAGGATGCGGACCGGCCGGCTCCTTACACCGCGGTGTGCGGGACCACCGCACCCTCCCCGCAGCGGCTCGGCCCTGCGTCCCCCCAGGGCGGCCCCGGCCCCGCTCCCCTCCCGCTCAGGGCGGCCCCGGCCCGGGGCGGAGCCACCTCGGCTCCGACCCAGGCCCCTCCCTCCTGAGGGCCCCGCCCCCCCGGCCGTGCTGACGGGGGTTGTAGTTGGGCGCCGCCGCCCGCGGACTACGATTCCCAGGTTGCAGCGGGCGGGCGCTGTC